AATTTTGTTCGTATCTGAAAAAAATCTTAGAATACGAAAACATTGGTGAATGCCACAAATTCTCCTAAATCACTCGTACGAACAATTTAAGAACAAATCTGTGCGTACGAACGGTTCTTGCATGAGGCCCAATATGTCAGGCCTATCGCCAGTCCCTCCTGACGTAGGCTGAAAACGRGCCWATCTCAGTGGCTGGTTACAATGGGAATGTGAAATATCTTTAGGGACAAATGCAGTGTTTGGCCACAAGGTAAGGCCAGAGCCATTTGGGCCCATTTGAGACATGACGGGCTGGCAGAGAGAGCATGCAGCTTGCCGACCCTTTTAGCTGAGACAATAGCTCATAAAAATGTTGTCTTACACGAGAGCCACTTGAGGTCAGCCTGAAGCAAATGCTCGAAGGGAGGGTGGCACAGGGCTTCGAGGACCAAAGGCAGATCCCAAGCAGGTGCCCGCAGAACTGTTGGCGGGTGCAACCTGCGAGCGCCATGCAGAAAAAGAGAAACCAGGTTATGGCTTCCAACTGTACCACCATCAATGACAGCATGATTAGATGATATTGCCACCACATACAGTATACCTTAAGTGTTGATGGATAGTGGTCCTTATCGAGGAGAGATTGAAGAAACTCCCGGATAGTGGGCACCACACAAGAGACTGCTCCTCATCGCGATCAGCACACCACTGAGAAAACAAACTCTACCTGGTTTCATATTGCTGATAAGTAGAATGTGCCCTAGCACTTAAAATAGTGTACCTGATAGAGTCTGAATATCCAGTCAGTTGCTGCTCAAGCCTCCCAGTGGCCACACCCACAGCCTGAGGCATTGAGGATTGGGGTGCCAGATCAGTCCCCCGAACTGAGACAATAGGTCCCTCCTGGTTGGAAGACACCATGGGGTGTCTTGGCACAGACTCCATAGAAGTGGGAACCATGGTCGTGCTGGCCAATATGGAGCTATCAGCAGCAATCTGTGGCCCTCTTCGAGAACTCTCTGAAGAGTCACCCAAATCAGAGAAAGTGGTGGAAAGGCACATAGAAGGACTCTTGGCCAGGGACGTGCCAAGGTGTCCTGGCCCAGTGCGCTTGATGCCCCCGTAAGGGAATGCCATAGAGGGCAATGAGTCGACTCTTCTGTGGCAAACAGGTCTACTTCTGCCTGACCGTAGAGATCCCATATCATGRYCARTATGTCGCTGTGGAGAGACCACTCTCCTGGAGCAGGTGCCTGCCGAGAAAGGGAGTCTGCAGTCCAGTTGTCCTGCCCTGGTATGTACACTGCCCACAGAGTGGACAGGCGAGGGGAGGCCCATCTCAGGAGATCCCTGGCCACCTTCAGGAGCTGTGCCGACCTGGTGCCACCCTGATGGTTGATGTGGTAGACCACGGAGGTGTTGTCCAATCGAACCAGGACATGCTTCCCCTCCAGGTGGGGCAAGAAGTGCCTGAGAGGTAGAAACACAGAATGTAGCTCCAGAACATTTATGTGTCTGGAGCGATCCTGGTGACTCCAGCTGCCCCGAACTGCTCTGTGCTGCCACACAGCCCCCCATCCCATGGAGCTGGCATCTGTCGTGACCACCTCCCTGCGACACACAACCATCCCCATAGGGACACCTTTGGACAAATAAGCTCTGTCRCTCCATGGGTCCAGGGTACGCAGACAAGATCTCATCACCACAATTTTGTGATGCTTGTGTAGGGGTCACCCCGAGTGAAGAAACAGGAGTTACTGCCTCAAAGCAGGTCTCGGAAGGCCTGACAGAGAAGGCAGGAACACTGAACTCTATTTTAGGCCATGATGGGTCATTTCACCCCGTGATCGAGGACTTCAGTTCTCTTGATCAGATAATGGACAGAAACAATCTTTCCTGTTCGTGATTTCTTTGTTGTTTAACTAAGAATGTTATGCAT